AACGCTCCTGCTCGGCTCCCGACCGGCCCGCCGGCTGCTCCCTCCGCCCTTTGTCCTTCTCCTCTGCCATCTGCCCAGCCCTCGCCCTCAGCGGCGGCACTCGCGGGAGCCCCCTCCCAGTTGGGGAATTATTTTTTGTCGGGTGAGAAAAAGCCCCCCTTTCTTAAGGGGACCCTCCCCCTTAAGGCCGGGATTCCAGCAGCCCCCTCCAGCCTGCCCCGCGCTCGGGTATGGACTTTGCTTCTCAGCAGGGCACGTTTCCTGCACCTGCAACCAACTCTCTTGTCCAATAAGGTTGGGGGCATGTCATGCATTTTTTTTTTTTTTGGTCCTGAGTTCGAATTCAGCCTCTGCTCCTAAAAATCCTTCCTTCCTTCCTTCCTTCCTTTTATGCTATTCTATTCCTCCCTCCCCTTTCTATGGACTTTTTAGAACTAAGAATTACCATTTACAGATGAGGGGAAAAGCCTAGAGAAAAGTGTTTTGGTGAAGGTCATGGTTAACTGTAGAACTGGAAATCATCTTTTGGTTTTTTTCTATATCTTTCTATCTATATTCTTAAACCTCTAGGAATATATCAGTCCTGGTCACGTAATTTGAGACAAGCAATTCCTTACTTGATACATTCTGGAATTGTGTTTGAAATGTGAGCCAGCCAATGGACTTACATGTAATTACAATAAATTCCTAGTTATGATGCAAAGTGTTTGGTTTCACCTCTTGATTACTAATCATTGTTTAATTCTAATAATACGTTTACAACATGATTTGTTTCATGGTCTTCCTGCATTTGTTTTATGTTCTTCCTGTATGTTTCATGTTCTTCCACTGGGCACTATTGTGATTCACTCTGCTCCTAAAAATTGGGTGGCATTGGCCAAGTTTCTATAAGCTTCCCGATCTTAAAAGGAGATGGGTAGCAGTACCCACTTCCTAGGGATGTTGTGAGTACAGTGTGGAGTGCACGGGCATAATGTGTTAAAAGTTTAGCCACTATCAAAACTGAGCCCTGCCCCGCCTCAAAGGGTCTCAGTGCCTTGAGCACTTCAGCTTCCCACTCTGCACAGGCTCCTCTGAATTCCTTCTATGTTGTTGAGACCATAACAGCTGCCAGCTCCCCAATAATTAGGAGATATGAAGAATGACTGTCTACTCAGACTCTACTTAGACTCTACTGGGTGAAAAATGCATGAGCGATGATGAACTCAGGGTGAAGTGGAGATAGGAGATGCAGGATTGCTTGACTTTGAGTTTGGGACAGGGATGGAAAGATTTAAGAACAAAGAGATGACCAAAGAAGACTTGCCTTCCCTCCCTCCCTCCCTCCCTCCTTCCCTTCTTTATATAGATTAAATAAAAATATTTATTTAATTGTTTTTCTATTGTTATATAATTATAAGTTTTCCATTTCTTGATTCTGCACCATATTTGAAGTGACATATGAGAAGACATTTAATGCTCTTGGTTTTGCACAAAATTAAATGGAATATTTTGATGCTGAATTGGCTGAAATTTTATCAACTTTCTGTAAACATTGTTAACAAAATATTGAAGGCTTCCTGTGTTCTTCAGATAAAGCTCTGTATCTTAGTTGATCAATTTTCTCTATAGCCTTATCACTGCAATATTTTATATTGCTCATCCATTTATAATTTTAGGATATTTTTATGTTCCACATCACTACACCCTGCCTCTTTTTTCTTTCTTTTTTTTCCTGCAAAAAGCTTTATTGTTTCATTTGGTCCAATGCATGGGAGAGGGCTTCAGGGTGGTTAAAAGAATGGATAGTAGTTTTGGGGAGAGGCTCAGGTAAAAGCCAGACACCAGGGGAGTGCAGAGGGGCCTTCAAAGGCCTCTGGGCTCCAAGGGCTCCCTGTTGTGCTTGAGAGTGAGCCTTTTGAAGAGATACTCGCCCAGCCCAGCCCGGCCCAGCCAGCCTGTGGAGGTTAATCAGGTAGTTGCCCATCTTCTTGATGAGTTTCACCTCCTCATCCAGGAAGTGGTTCTCCAGGAAGTCACAGGGCTGAAGGTCTGCGGGGGTAGAACCCAGAGCCTGCAGCTCCAAAAGGGCCTGGCTCAGGTCCCTTGCCAAGGCCAGGGTGGCTTCCATGGTGGCCTGAGTTTTGCCCCACCCACTCATCTTGGGAAGGCTCAGCATGTCCTGGAAGAGAAGGAGGCCACCTCACGTGTTTTGCAAATTTAAGGGATGCTCAGTGCCCTCAAGCTTCTTCTCTGCCAACTCGCGGAAGAAGTGGCCCTCGCCCTCCAGAGCCACATCATCATGGTTGAAATAGAAGCCCAGAGAGAGGGAGGTGTAGGAGGCCCGCAGATGCAGGTTGGCCAGGCGGTTGACCACAGCCTCCACCTCAGTGGAGTAATTCTAACGAATTTGGGAGCTCATGGTTGTTCACCAATAAGGAGTTAAGGTAGGAAAAAAACAAAGAAAACAAAACACATACCAGTGTGTTGGCTGGTCGCGGAGGTGGTTCTGCAGGTGGTGACTGGATAAGACACAGGAGGGTGGTCGGAGGCTGGAAGAAGGGGTGTCCCTGGGTCTGTTCCGTCCAAACATTGTTGAAGCAAGATATAGATCTGGGACCGCCGCCGAGGGCACTCTATACCACGCCTCTTTAGACCCAATCTTCAGCTGTACATTTTGAGAATGTGCTCTAAATAATGAATATATGTTCTCTTAATGTAATTGAATACAGGGTTAAGTACAGCAGGCCCCCGTTTGTCTGCAGTTTTGCTTCCTCCAGTTTTAGTTATCCTCTGTCAACCAAGGTCCAAAAATATGAAATGGAAATTTTCAGAAATAAACAGTTACTAAGTTTTAAATTGCAGGCTGTTCTGAGTAACATGATGAAATCTCGCACCCTCTGCACCCCCTCACACTCAGCTTGAATTGCAGCCACGTGAATTGCAGCCATGTAAATTGTGGCCACGTGAATTACCCCACGGGAGCCTGCCTGTCACTCAGCAGCTCTCTTAGTTATCAGGTGGACTCTCATGGTATGGCAGTGCTTACGTTTGCCACCTTATTTTACTAAATAATGTCCCCAAAGCTCAAGATCAGTGATGCTGGCAGTTGATTATGCTAAAGAGAAGCCTGAAAGTGGTTCCTTTAAGTGAAAAGGTGTAAGTTCTGAGCATGATGAAATCTCGCACCCTCTGCACCCACTCTCACTCAGTGTGAATTGCAGCCACGTGAATTGCAGCCACGTAAATTATGGCCACGTGAATTACCCCACAGGAACCTTCCTGTCACTCAGCAGTTCTCTTATTATCAGGTGGACTCTCATGGTATGGCAGTGCTTATGTTTGCCACCTTATTTTACTTAATAATGTCCCCAAAGCTCAAAATCAGTGATGCTGGCAATTGATTATACTAAAGAGAAGCCTGAAGGTGGTTCCTTTAAGTGAAAAGGTGTAAGTTCTGGACATAACAATGAAAGAAAGGAAAAATGTGTGCTGAGGTTACTATGGATGGTAAGAAAAAAAAAAATCTATCCATGAAATTGTGGAGAAGGAAAAAGAAATTAATGCTAGCTTTACTGTCGCACCTCAGTCTGCCAATGCTGTGGCCACAGTGCGTGATAAGTGCCTTAGTTCGAATGGAAAAGGCATTACATGTGTGAGTGGAAGACATGAACAGAAAACGTGTTCTGATTGATGGTATGTGTTGTGACAGAAAGCACTGAGCCTATAAGGCAGAGGTAGGACACCTTTTTTTTCTGCCAAGGGCCATTTGGATATTTGTAACATCATTCGAGGGCCATACAAAATTACCAACTCAAAAAATAGCCTGCTATATTCGGTCAAACATTTAAGTAACTCACCCCTAATGCCTTGATCAAAAGATTTCTCGGGCCTTCTACAGCCTGTGGGCCAGTAGTTCCCACCCCCTGATATAAAGACTTCAGTAAGTGACATCAGACCATGTAAAGGATGGTTAAAGTAAGATATTTTGAGACAGAAGGCCACACAACTTTATTACAGTATATTATTAAAATTATTCAATTTTATTAGTTGTTCATCTCTCTCTCTCTCTCTCTCTCTCTCTCTCTGTCTGTATATATAGAAGAAAGGGGAGAGAGAGAAAGAGAA